ATCTCTACCAAAAGTAGAAAAATTGGCTTTAGTAGCTGGGGCATACACACTCAAGTACAGCAGAGTCCCAGGGACCCGCAGGCCCCAGGTGTCCTTACTCCCTCTCATGAATTCACTGTTGTTCTTCTTAGGCACCTCAAAGCCTGTTGGAGTGGGAGAGGAAATATTTGATACCCCAAGTACAGGTAAGTCTTTGAGGGAGTTTGCTGCATAGCAGAGGAAATATATGGAGCGTCAGCTGGTGGGAAAGTGAAGCCAATAGAAGGATTTTTTTTTTTATTTGAGAATGTGGAAATAACAGCATGATTTGTATACTGGTGGGAATGATCCAATAGAGTACAGGATAGGCAGTCAGTTTACTAAACACTATTATTATATTTCTATATTTCAGGGTCAGCAGACTGATCTATGGATCCAATATGGCCTATGGCCTGTGTTTGAATGGCCTATCAGCTATAAATTATTTTTATATATTAAAGACCTTTAAAAGGAGGAGGAGGAGAACCCAGGTAGGACATACAAGGCCTAAAATATTTACTGTGTCGCCCATTGCAAGAAAAGTGTGTCAAAACTTGCTATGTATTAATAATAAGAGACTGGAAAGGATGCCTTTAATCTACCAGTTTTTTATGGTGTCCCAGAAAAGGGGAAATTGTAAGGTATAGATCTAACAAAATATGCACAGGATCCTAACGATGAAAGCTTCAAGACATTAGTGAAAGAAATTCAAGAAACAAATAAATGGAGAGGTATACAATGGTCATGGATTAGAAGACTTGATATTGGGAAGATGTTAATTCTCCTCCCACTGATCTACAGATTCAAAGAAATCCCAGTAAAAATCTCAAGAGGATTTTTTTATAGATATAGGCACACCAATTATAAAAGTTGCATAAAAATACAAAAGATGTAGAAAACCACAATGATTTAAAGTAGAAAAAAACATACTCGAAGTGCCCTGTTCAAGACATAATATACAGCTGCTGTAACCATGAAGATATGTGGTATGGATGGCAAAAATAAGGAAGGGGATTGAAGGAAAAGTGGAACACCACCAAAATGAAATTCAAATATTGACCAAAGAGGGCAGCACCTGTGGCTCAAAGGAGTAGGGCGCTGGCCCCATATGCTGGAGGCAGCGGGTTCAAACCCAGCTCCAGCAAAACACTGAAGAAAAAAAAAATTGACCAAAAAAATGGATGAAAGATATGATGAAATTAGAAAGGATGTAACAGCTTAAAGAATTTAAGGAGTCATTCAGGGATTTTCAAAATGTAGTAGGAAGTTTCAAAAACAGATTGAACCGTGGAGAAGAAAGAATCACAGAGCTTAAAGACAAGGCTCTTCAGTTAGTCATTTTAAAAGACAGAAAAGAAGAAAATAAAAAGCAGAGAATTATGGAACTTAATGGAGTGTGAAGGGGGGGAGTTTTGATAGATGGAGGGTAAACAGTGGGACCATATCTATGGAGCATATTACAAGGGTACATACAAGTCAAATCTATCAAATGTACAACATAAATGTCCTAACACAATAATCAAGTAAATGAGGCAAAAGCTATATTAATTAGTTTGATGTAAGCACGTCAAATTATGTTTAAAAAATCAATACATTGGCTTGGCGCCTGTGGCTCAAGCGGCTAAGGCGCCAGCCACATACACCTAAGGTGGCAGGTTCGAATCCCCAG